TATGAGATCCTAATAACTCTGTACTATCTCTCTCTCTCTCTCTCTCTCTCTCTACTATATATATATATATATATATATACCATTGTTATGGAGGCTAACTTAAACATGTGTTACTTTAATGAAAACTTTAAACTGTAGGTTGAATAAGTATTGATGTAAGACTTACATAAGTTTTGTTTACTTTTTGTTACCCTTCAATCTCAAATATAATATGATGTGTAGTGGTTAATAACAAACAGTTATTATTGTTTTGGACATAAAAAATTTAAACAGGTTAGGTCAGTAAACAACATGAACTAGTAATGAGACATCTAACTGTGCTCGGAACGTTTAAGATTATCGAGAAATTAAATTAGTGGTTTACTTAGTGCAATTTCATGATGTTTGGAAACAGGTGGAAGGAAATATTGAGCAGGAAAAGAATCCTGTTCATTAGCTTTTGTTTTTTACTTAAGGTTTCTATTGAACAGCTTAGTGTTTTCAGTTACCAGTGTCTTAACCTTTGACCTATGTGAAGAGTGACATGTTAGACTTCCTTCTTGATTTTCTAGGATAATATCAGCAAGTTGATATCTATTCAGAACAGTTTATGCGGTCATCACGAAGTTATTCGACCTGGTCGGGTAAGGCAAGTTTAAACTTACAATCATACAAATATACTTTTATGTATACTAAGTGTTATTCTGTTTCCTCGACGATTTCGATCACTAAACTAACAGTTTGAAATATCCAAGAATCACAGTGTGTTTGTAAAAAATAGTTCCTAAGTGTGCTAGTACCTGTAGCACTAAGTGTAACTAATCGATAAGTTAGGACTATAAACAGTGCCATACGGAAACTATTGTAGTGTACTAACTTTAATACTACACAATGTTTTGGTACGAAGATGTTAATGTCAGAATTCATAGCAGAAATGTTTTTTAATCTTTTATTTCAGGTGTTTATAAAAGATGGAGACCTCATGAAACTTTCCAGAAAGATAATGAAACCTCGAAGGTTTATACTGGTTAGTGAGTCCCTAACCTACTCACAGTGCAAGGGATTTTAGTAAAAACTATATATTATAAGTAATGATCAAATTCTGCTTCATTGCACTGAACCTGGTTTTAAATTTTACACACTAACTCTAACTAAATATTGATTCCTAGTATTAAAAACAGATGGAATGAAAGCTCAGTTTGGAATATTAGACATTAACTGTAAATAAAAATTGGTTCATATTACTGAAACTGAGTGGAATTAAAATTAGATCCCTATTTGAAAGTTAAGACATTATTTGTTTATAATTCAGTTTCTAAGTTGTGCAATAGGAGCACTTAACATTTTTAGATACTTAAATGAGATTATTTTCAATATTTGATTGTTTAAATTTCTATGAAAGTTTACCTGCCAGAAAAGTAATAATGTTTATTATCTAATATTTTGTAAACAACTTCTAACTTAAACTCCAGGTGTTCTCAAAAATTCATCATTATATAACTTATTCCTCTTTATTTTTTTTTTATGTACTTTAGTTTAATGATAGTTTATGGTACACGAAGCAAGTTCAGTATAAGCTTTATCGAGTAAAACACGAGTTTCCACTGACCGGAATGAAGGTGTCGATACCAATTCAGCAGGACTACGAAAATGAATTTAACATAATTAGCATGACAAAGTCCTTTATTCTATCTGCCAGGTAAGTAACAAGTTATGTATGAATAGAGAACAATTCTAGTTAAACTTGGTAGAAAAAGCCTTGCAATACTATTACAATATAACCTCATCAGTTACCACTGACAAGTGTTACACTTTGTTACAACATAAAAAATCTGACTACCACTGACAGGTGTTACATATTATTACAACATAATCACACCACCTATCACTGACAGGTGTTACATACTGTTACATCATAATCACACCACCTATCACTGACAGGTGTTACATACTGTTACATCATTATCACACCACCTATCACTGACAAGTGTTACACGCTGTTACGATGCAACCACTCCAGTTACCAGTGAGATGTTTTACATGAGTTATAAGATATGCAAACGTATACATACATACATACATACATACACAGAGAATACATATCTTTAAACACATTACATCAAATTATGTCATTGTTACACAGAAGCTTTTATCTAAACTAATGAATATAAATATTTCATTCATAATCAGATGACTAATTACTAAAACCTGTTCAGTCTTTTTTTTTTATTAAACTTCATAAGTTTATTTCTTCACCAGAAACACTATGTTTCAGTGTTGAACATTTCTTCATATACAGTTGCTCTATTTTGATGAGAAATTGATTCAGTTAAAAAAACAAAATTTCCTTTCCTACTTCCTCTACATTTTGTATCTAGTTAAAAAAACAATTTCCTTTCCTTCTTCCTCTACATTTCCTATCTAGTTACAATTTTCTTTCCTACTTCCTCTACATTTCCTATCTAGCTACAATTTCCTTTCCTACTTCCTCTACATTTCCTATCTAGTTACAATTTCCTTTCCTACTTCCTCTACATTTCCTATCTAGTTACAATTTCCTCTACATTTCCTATCTAGCTACAATTTCCTTTTCTACTTCATCTACATTTCATATCTAGCTACAATTTCCTTTCCTACTTCCTCTACATTTCCTATCTAGTTACAATTTCCTTTTCTACTTCCTCTACATTTCCTATCGAGCTACAATTTCCTTTCCTACTTCCTCTACATTTCCTATCTAGTTACAATTTCCTTTCCTACTTCCTCTACATTTCCTATCTAGTTACAATTTCCTTTCCTTCTTCCTCTGCATTTCCTATCTAGCTACAATTTCCTTTTCTACTTCCTCTACATTTCCTATCTAGCTACAATTTCCTTTCCTCTACATTTCCTATCTAGCTACATATACTTTTGAAGAATTTTTTACCCTTAATGATCTAGTTATTTGCAAAGTATGTTAATTTGTTTAATGATCGTTACACTTTCTAGAATTTGACAGAACTTATACTTGTAACATTTCCTGTTTTATTTTACCATAAAATAACTTTAATGAAATATTACCCTTTGGAAGTTCTGTATAAACATGTTTAAAATGTAACATCCAAAGTTGACTTGGGATTTAAATTGTTCTCTGCAACAAAGTAGAATTTAGTTGGTAAGCAGTTGTGAGAAACTAATATGTTGTAATTATTTATTGTGTTAACCAGCTCTCATAATAGACAGTATTTAATTGGTGTATCATTCACCTGTCTTTAATAATGTATTTAACTGCTGTGTTGATCACCTGTCTTTAATAATGTATACAACTGCTGTGTTGATCACCTGTCTTTAATAATGTATACAACTGCTGTGTTGTCCACCTGTCTTTAATAATGTATACAACTGCTTTGTTGATCACCTGTCTTTAATAATGTATACAACTGCTTTGTGGATCACCTGTCTTTAATAATGTATACAACTGCTGTGTTGTCCACCTGTCTGTATCTCTAATAATGTATTTAACTGCTTTGTTGATCACATGTCTTTAATAATGTATACAACTGCTTTGTTGATCACCTGTCTTT